AAACCCTTAACATTCTATGATTCTACAATTCTCTGCTGTACACTTTAGAGAAAGAATCTGTTTTGAATATATCTCAATACATATCAGATGTTCCCTATTTTCATGAACCTAAAATGTAGTTGCCTGCACATATATGGCTGTATTTATTAACAGTAGCTGTGTACACAAGCACATGAATATAGTACAAGATTGCTATTACAATTGTAGACTGATTTTCCTATGAACCAAAGTGAGTCTTGAAGACCACAGTTATTCCTGTCATAAACCATTATAAAAAGTCAAATCTAAGGGGTCTCATGAAGGAAATGTTTATCCTTGTGCTTGCGCACAAAAGAGAGAAAACACAGAAACCTGAGGACTTTTGTAAGCAGTAAACAAAACTGATTGCATATTTTCAGCACTAAAGCTTTCACTAGGAGTAAGTAGCTAAGGTTTTGTGGGGAGTTTTACTTAAAATGGTCTAGTTGCTCTAAGTGAGGCTGCATGGTATACTCTGCCTCAGGAGATCTCCTAAGATCAGTGTCTGGGTCATACTGGTGAGAAGAAAAAAGGGATTCTTAAAGCACAAGAAGAAGAAAGTTTATTAGTAATGCAGAGCTGCTGTAATGACAGTAAGTGAAACAACTTCAATACCGGAAGGAGGAGCTTTTGCTGAAGCCTTTCAGGTACGATTTCCTTCTCTGGCTGAAGCCTAGTGGGATGGTGGTAGTAAAAGATGTCTCTGGTTCTATGAGCATGGATGCCAGCCATGCAAGCCTTGCATACTGCAGTGTGAACACACCACATGCTGATCTGCCTTACTATACTACAGAACTTGTCAAATGTCGAATACGCTGATGGTAAAGTGACTTTCTTTCCAGTCTAAGCAGAAGGACGACTGTGGACACGAACTAATGCAGGAGCCCCTTGACTCCTTTCCACAGACAGAGATGCAATCCTGAGCTGTCAGAATCACTGTTATTTGCACATCTCTGTTACTGCACAACTTCTGAAGTGTTTTCCACAATCTCCCATCTATTGAAACATGGGGGTAAGATTAAGATGAGTTTGATTTATTATTGAATAAGTCCTAGGGGAAAAAAAAAAGGACTTACACTTTCTGCTGTTATAAATAGCCATGCAGTGTCAAACCTCCATGAATTGCACTGCTACACTACTACACATTCATTACATCTTGTCAGTAACTACAGAAACAAAGCATTTATGGATTACTTTACATGTCTACAAAAATAAAGCTCCAATAGAGTAATTGATATGATTAAAACAATTTACCTAGATTTTTAGTCTTCTGTTGTGCTCAGTTGCTTAGGTAAGGATTATCATATTTGGTTCACAATCTTGCTAGACTTTCATACTTAGTATCATCTATGTTTTTTTCCTCAGGACAGAAGAAAGTTAACTCCAATGCTAACTGTAAAGCAAATCCCCCCCAGAAACAAATGCCTTATGGCCCCTTTGCTATCCTGAACCTGTGATTAAGGCAGCTGTCAGAATGAGATGCACTTGATTCCAGGGAAATAATCCTTTTATGGGTATTGATTCTGAAGCTGAATGAGGGCACCAAGAGAAAGTGTGGTGTCCACTTAGGTGAGCTCATTCTGCAATTGACATTCCTGCTTGAGAAAAGAGAAGTTAAAGGGAAATAAATGATCAACTGTAGGAAAACCTTAAGATATGAACATGGACTGAAACACAGGTTAGCAAGAGAAAGAGGAGTAACAGTATTGCTAAATTTTATTGTCATTCCCTAAAATATACGGATTTGAATTTTTGTAAGTGGGAATAGTTTTACCCATCTCTCCTGTGTTTCTGTGACAGACTGAACAGTGGGATCGCTCATCCTCATTGCTGTTAATTGGTATAGCTCCATGGAGAAAAGCATAATTTGACTATATCTGTTGGGCAGTGAGACAGAGAAAATCCCCTTTTCCCCATTCCACAGAATCAGACAGCTCCTCCCTCAGGCAATCTCCTTCATCAGCAGTACAGCTCTTTCATTCATTCTTTTTTCTTGCATTTGCTGAATTTGCTTGAGACTGGTACAAAGGAGATTAAGATAGGTAAACTAACAGGCAAAACTTCAAAAGCAAGCTTTGCCAAAATACACATTTTCAAAATCAGTGTGGCAGCTTTACTTTTAAATACCTCTTTAATACTTTATATAGATACCTGGAAGGACTACCTATTCATTACAGTTTCATAATTATGATATTATGTATTTGTCTTCCTTTCTCAGGCAAAATTCTGAGTTGCAGAGGATCTGCTACAATAAGATGTGCTACATTTGGCTTTTATTGTGCAATAATGAAGGCAACTAAATACAAAAAGCCTATAATGAAACATTACACAAAAAGGACACAGACTTTAAGGTGACACAAACAGGAAATATATAATAAACCATGTGTCATGCTGCTGCAGCTGTTTCACCTCTTACCAATTTTCACAGTCTATAAAATCTTGGAAAGCACCAGATGTTTAGGGGAAGCTGTCCCACTATTCCTAGCTTTGAAAGTAGAGGCAAGATTTATTAGTGCTATATATACGTGATTTCAGTCCTGACTTCTATATTTATAAACTAGGTGAAACATGCAACACATCCTGTTGTGAGACAGCCTATTTACTTTCCTCTGCTACTCCTTACTTGCAGATCTTAGCTGTTGCTGGACCATTACAGTAACTACACAACAAGACCAGGACATGCAGTCCAAACTACAGGATTTAGTTACTGACAAACATATCTGAGAGTTTTCTCCTAGTATCAACTTTTACCAAAACGATTTTACAATGCACAGATTATGAACTAAGCAAAACTGTTTTGCAATGCACAGATTATGAGCTAAACAAAACTATCTTGTGTATGAATATGCACTACCATTTGGGATTTCTGCCTATGCAGAGACTGTTAGTGCACAGAATTATCTTTTTTTTTTTCTTTCCTAGTGCATGGTTCCTAGTATCGGAACCAGGATAAAAACTGCTCATGCATAATTTCCAATCTTTCATAGCTCAGTGGTGCTGTAAAGTGCTGCTGTTCGTTTTAATTCAGCGAGTAGAAGTTTTGTTGGGTTTACCACTAAGGGAATTGGATTTGTTATTAGAAAGCCTCTGACAGCTGTCAGAGACAGAGACAACTTGCCTCATTTCAATCTTTCATAAAGGAAGGACCCTCTTCTTCAACAAAGCTGTCACAGGCCTGAAACATGGGATAAAACAGCCTACCTTTTCCAAACACATGAAAATCTCTGTTCCTCCTCTATTCTCTTCCCCATAAAGTTATAGAGGGGAAGCTGTATAGTTAGAAGAAAGGAAATATGATTTGATGTATTTGTACAGTATACTGCCTTGTTATCACTGACCTGCAGGGATAATTGTACAGCAGCCTGCTTGACATGGTATTTAATAAATTAGGACAATGTTTTAAAATAACATACAAGGTTTCATGCAGTTTTATTTTCTTAGAGCAAGAAAAATCAAAACCTGAAAGACATTGATGAAGACAAGGGATTTGCATCAAAAACTCTGAAAGTCTGAGTCTGTAAGCATTTCCACACTTTCCAACACATACCTCACCCTGCCCAGCACTCTTACCAAATTTAAAGCACCAGAAAATGAAATGTTCTCTTAAGACCTGAAACCTTACCTTCCAACTTTTCATTTTAACATGTATATGACTTAATAAAAACTCTGTCATTTATTTTAGTTCAAATGTTTGGTTTGTTTTTTTCTAAAAGCCTAGATTATTTTCTTCGATTGGAATTAGTAACATTTCAGCTCTTGCTTATTCTTTAATGACAAAGGGAAAGTAGCTTATGCAATGTCTCTAATAGGTCAGCATTGTTTTCCCATCAACTCCCACTTAGCTTTCTGATGATGATCGGACTCTCCTTTTCATACCAGTAATCCCGTGGGTATTCCTCCATACAGCATGGTTTGTGATGTCAACTCCTTTAACTAGTACAAGGTACTGGGAAGGCATATGTACATGCATCATTTGTTTTATATTGTTGTTTGCATGCTATTTTTATAGCATACTCAATGCTCATTTTCACATTTCATACTCTGACTCATTTTTCATCCTGTTTTCTTCTCCCTATCCATCTCGCCCTGCTGAGTAAAGCAAAAATCCATGAATGAGTCAGAGTCAAACTTTCAAAGTCACATTGGTCAGTGGGGTTTGAAATTCAGCAGAATGAGATTGCTGTGTTTTATCTTTCCAAAGTAGAAAATAACATTTCCTTTCTTCAGTCACAATAAAGTTTTGTCTCATTTTTTTCCAGCTGTGTTAATTTTCCTGAAATCCAGTCTAAACTATGATGCTCATTAGTGACTGATGTAACTAGCTCTTTCTGTTCTTTCTATATTATCACTATCCTAGTCTAATTCCTCATGCTATCTTGTCATCCTACCACCAAAAGCAACTTAAAACTCTTATAATCTATGCGCCATTCTAACATTTGATTGTGTTTGGTACTTTCTATGCAGTACACTGAAAGGGAGACATTGACATATTTTAAGTAAGAATGAGGAATTAATAATTTCTCACGTATGTAACTTTTAAAGTTTTTTGCCTATATACACCAGAATTAAGAACAGCATCCGTTGTGATTTATGTTGACTGGATGTTACACAATGTTATTATCTTCTCAGCTTGCAAGAGCCTAGTTTTCAGTTGGAATACGCACTATTTCTGCCATGTTAAGCTTGTTATCAAATCCTCAAGCAAATCTTTCTCGACATTTCACATAGCACGTAATAATTCAGCTCAGAAGCTGTAGCACCACACCATTCCTTTTGAAATATGAAATACTAAACATGACTGGCTCAGGGTAGGGCAAACAGTTATTTCCTAATGCAAGCCAGGATGGTCAGTTAGAAAATGAGGTGCATCTGCAGTTGCTTCATTCCAAATACTGACCAACAGTGTCTTCTAACCTCACAGAACTCAGCAGATATTTGCTATTACCAGCATTTCCTTCCACTAATATTTAAACTCTTCTTACCTATGAACAGATTCCACTCAGTATCCAAATCAGCCTGATTTGCTAGGCAGCCCTTCATTACATTGAGGCAATAGTTGTTGCAAGGTTTCACAGTGGGAAGTCCTCTGCAGTAAGGGCAGTACAACATCTTCATTAACGCCCGGATGCACCCTGGGGTGGGACTGACCTGCAGAGTTTAAGGTGGGGAAAGAAAAAGAAAAAGGAGGAAATCAATCTCCTGTTCTGTGAATTTCGGGATCGCTGAGATTATGTCTCTCAAGCAATAAGTGCAGAAGGGGCAATTTGTGAAAAGAGTTCAACCCTTAATAACACTCTCTTATGAGTCTAATCGATTCCTGCCAATTATCTTCATTTAGCACAGCAGTGACTTTCAGGAATGCAAAAATCGACACTCCCCTACTGATGGCAGTGCTTGTCTCCCCAGCCCTCCCACACAAAATCTACTGAAAAGTAAAGGAAAAACATCCAGGGAATCAGCTGGATAGTAACTGACTGATCCTAATGTGGAGGATCCTGAGGAGACTTCTCACTCTTCCTATGTAGGCTGGAACTGTCAGTCACATCATCACTGGATTAAAATCTCTTTATCAAAGCACGATAAATCCAGGATAATCTTAACATTTTTTATAAAATTATTCCGAACTGCACCATGACAGAGGGATATCATTCTGTTTTCAGATGAAAATACCCTTCAGTTTTCTCAGAAAATTTCATAAAGAGATCAGACAGGGTTTGGTGTTTTCTTGTTTTGGTTTGGTTTGGTTTGTGGTTTGTATGCTTCCAACATCTCAAGTGACAAAAAGCATTATAGACAACAGTCTAATGCATTTCCATTTACATATCAGCATGACAGGTGTCTGCACATGATGAGCTTAAAAGAGACAACAGAGACAATGGAAAGACACCCAATGAATTTAGGATTTTTAGTCTAATTTGTTAACACTGGGCATAGTTGACAGAAGGAAGTAGTGTGTAGATATAAATTTTTAGCAATAGGTGTTACACTTTGCTCTAGAATGGTATGGACTTCCTGGAGAAGGAACATGGAGGCTGGGGAAAGGTTTTTGAGTAAGACTTCATTATTTGTAATGATCCTTTATCTCATCTTTTTTAGTCATCAACATGCCAGGCATCTATTCAACAATGTGCCTTTCATGTTCAATGGAGAGAAATAGGTCCTTTTTGGGTGGTTTTTTTTTATCCCATCTCTTGAAGGGTAGGATTAATCATCTTCTGGAAGACATCCACTGAATCATCAATATCTAAATTTAAATAAAAAAATTGGTCACATTTGACTACATGCAAAGTTCCTCAGGTAAATATTATTTTGTTGCTCTCTTTCATATTTAAATGTTACATCTCAGACTTTTAAAGTTATGTGTACTAGTACAATGTACATTTTCAGGCCAGAGTTTCTAACTTGGATTAAAAGTGTACACTAGGTACTACTCACAATAGCATCTCGTCATGGTGCAGAGGAGCACAAGTTTCTCATGACGGAGTGACAATCTAGAGCAATGAAAAAGGGCTACAGATTCCTCAGTGATTTCAAAATTCCTGGACAGGAGATTCCAAAGCAATGGCACTTCTTTCATTCATTCCGTTGGTTTATGAATAAATGCAACACTTCTAATATGAACTTGAAGGGATTAAGCTGTTTTTCTATAATCATGCTAGCTTGTGCTGAAAGCATGAATCAGACTTTGCACCATAGGGGTACAGGCTAAAGTTACTGATGTGGTTTGTATTATCAGGATTATACTAAAATTACACTTCTTTTCCTCTGGAATTTGTTTCTTCATTTTTGATGTTAAATCGTTGATTTTCAGAGAACTATGCAGAACATAGTCTTTACATAGGACATTTTTACATGAAAATGGTTCTGTTATGAGATACAGAAGAGGCCTCTGAGTATGCTCAGAAAGGATTTTTGCCTTAGTTTCCTCAGAAAATGTGCTTTACTAGCATAACACTGATGGTGTGTGTGAAGGTATATTAATCCATCCTTTTCCAATAGCTTTTGAACTGTCATCCAGTTTCAGTCAAATTTGACAGTGCACTTCAGGTGTCAGTACATTAAGATTAACATGTTTTTTTTGAAATAGACAGCTGAGTGAAGAAGAGGAGAGAGGCTCTATTATTGCCTTTATTGGGGAAAAGGGTGAAAGATGAGGTCAGTTCCTCACAGATATCAGAGAATCTGTGGGGAAGAATGATGCTATGAATGACTCACAAGTTAGAAGAAGCACCATTAAACTGAAAAAAATCTAAATTCAAGAAGAGCTGAACTTTATTATTTCCACTGATCAGAACTACTTTTTAGAGTCATTTATCTGTTTTGTATCTCCAAACCTAGAACACGTCAATTTTTACAAAAAGACAAGTATGCAGAATGCATATATTTATGGTCAACAAGCAAATATTAAAAGTAAAAGTGAAATTGCTTCTTAAAGCCAGAGACATTTCTATCTGTGGGCCCTGAGAGTTTCAACAGCAAAGTTCCTGTCATGCTTAAAATTATGTGTCTTCCCAGTTCCAGAAGTCTTGTCAACACCAAGTTGTCTGCACCTAGTTGACCCCTAAGTTCAGCTGGAATTCACACATTTAATTCTTGAAAAACATATCTAGAAGAGCGAAGACAGTCTCTGTCTTTATATTATATTTGTGTAAAACAATATCATCAATATTTATGTGAACCTTATTTTATAACAAGTGCAGTCTGAGAGGAAACTATCATATCTTAGTCTGTCAGAGGTCCAGATCATATCCCCAGTCTGCTAGGACAGGACCCTAAAAGGTCAGTTAGAATACCTATTTACACAAACCCTGTGAATCTTCAATTCTTGTCATGTTATAGAATTGCTTTAGCCAGAGTACTTCCAGACACAGTCCACTATGAAGTAGTCAGGACAAATTCTAACTATGCAAAAAAGATTGAGCAGGACCAGGATGTCATTTATCTTGCCTAAATGTTTTAATATTCCCCATACAAAATGGTGAAATCATAACCAGCATTTTACAAGAAAGAAAGGTGCCCTGCTTACGTTAGGAGAGAATTAATCAGTTTTTAAGAGAAGAGGTCAAGCTATAGGTCCAAGCAGAAAGCAGATGGAGAAAGTTTCTACAGAAGTCTCTAACATATCTATATCAGCATCTGACATAACTACATCATCCTCGGACAAAGACAAACTCAAATAGATCCTTGCTGATCAAGCTGGATGCTGCAGATCTTGATTTTGCAATATGCCATGCTGGTGACATAAAATACAAGTACACATGCTGCCTCTCCTGGCTTACATTCACTTTGCTTGCTGCTACCACCTTCTGCTACAAGCTGGCCACATCCCATACTACTACATAGTATCTAGCACTACATTCCTCTGGGTCCCACTTAGTGCCTGAGTGACTAAAATACACAATATTTTGTGTGGTTATTTTTCAACTCAAAGTGTTTGGAATAACAGGAGTCAGTAGTGTAAGTAATGGGAGTAAAAGGAATCTAAATATAATGTTGCGTGTTGAAGTGAGACAGGAGGTTTGATAGTGCTTAGGGTCTGTGTTGGAAAGAAGGGAGGAGTCCAAAACAAGACAGGTATCTTCATGCAGGTCTCTGGAGGAACTCTCTGTCTTGCCAACAGTGCACTGAATGGAGAGAGTCAGATGGAGAGGTCCAAAACACATCTGAGAGGATGGCTAACAATTAAGCTGTGACCTGAGCATAGGATGAGTCCTGTTCTCAATCTTGCTCCATAGTCACCTGTCACTTAGCAATACCGATGTACCTTTAGGTGCCCAAATTGTACCAATAGTACAGCTACTTTGGAAGTCTTAAGGCTAATTTAAGTGCTGTGTTACAGCAGTTAAGTGCCTTTCTGAACCCAGCCTTCACTGAGCAGTTAAGTTTCAGTTTTCATCTTCAGCTGTTTTTTCTGTACCTTTATTTTCAAAGAATACTGTCAGGTCTTTTTCCTCCCTCAACAACAGCTGAATTATCCTTCATGCAAAAAATAATCAAATTTTTCTCTAAGATTCTGAAATCAGAAAGTAGATATGAATTTCATTCAGAAGTATTCAAAACGTGCATTTGCTAAGGAGAGCTGTTCCTCAGCTCAGAAGTTTCAGTGTTTTTTTCTGTAACTAACATTTGTGAACAAATATGGCTTGACTTTTTTTCTTTTTTGTCTTTTAAAATACATTGCAATTTGCTCCATTATGGTCACAGAAGAGAAATTTGCATAGACTTTAAAGTTTAGAAATAACTAGTCCTTGTGTAAACCATAAATCAATCAGATCACACTGAATGACATAAGTGGGGAAACTGCTATAGAGGAGTAATGCTGTCTCCCTGACTGACTGGGACAGTTTCATTTTAGTGTAAGCGTAAGTGGAATATAGCACATCAGAAAAGTGCCTTTCTGAGTTTTGATTGAGCCTAGTAGCTGCAGTACATGTTACATTACTGCATTTTCTAATATTTTCTGACAGCTCCAGCTTTACCTAAATGCATGCTTTTGCATACATGCAAAAACCCCTAAAAGCAATATTTTTAATGGCTTCATTACTAAACACTTGTTTTCCCCCTTCAGAAACTCTAGGAGGAATATCATTTCATCTAAAAGACAGATTTTGCAATGGTGAACTTGCAAATATAAATAATTGAGGAGAGAACTTCTTTGGGTAAAAGCCAGGAAATTTTACTCTCTTGTAACATGGCATTTACAGGTTGCTTTGTTATGTATTTGACCTGGTTTCATAATCAAAATCCTTGGCTTTGCCAGTATATGAACATAAATCCTTTTATAAAAGATCGGAAAAACTGACTAAACAAATGGTCACCTTTAGAGGGATCAAACACATGACATACGGTTTCTCTGCTTTTATTTAGAGGAGATTTCTTACCATTGGTATACATTGCCTTGTAATAAAGTAGGGTTGTTCTTCCAAAGTTATATTAAATGTATCTAGACTCGCAGAATAAATCCATACTTAGGTCCAAATACTGTAATTTCTTGGCATAAAATAAAATTTGTCAAATATGAGCAAAATGAATCAAAAGTGAGACCACATCAAGGGACACAGATGTTTCCTATGCACCCAAAGGAACTCTTCCCATTTGCAAACATGAGTGACTCCTTAGCATGAAGGTCTTGTGGGGGAAACTGCTAG